GCTGAGGGTATGTAAATGAAGGAGGCCAAGGCGTTAACGCGTATACAACGGCCGTGGCGCGCAAACTCACCCCCGGCACCATGGCGTGCGCCAAAGGGAAGCCGCCCTCAGCGGTTCCCTGAGCTCCGGTACCCCACCACTCAGCAGCACAGTACTCCTCACTTCTGCATCCTCCACCCTGGTGCCGCTGCACCCCGGCACTCCTGCACTCCAGCACCGCTTCACCCCAGCACTCCTGCTCCCCGGCACCGCTGCACCCCAGGATCGCGGACCCGCAAGCACCGCCCCCTCAGGAGTCCGCAGAGCCGCGGGCCGACGCTACGTCCACCCGGCGCCTGGGGCGCGACATCCTGCAGGACTTAAAGACCGAGCCCTGGCGCGGTGGCGCCGCAAGAACGCGCAAGGCCGACCTGGAGGGGCTCTTCGGTCACCAGTCTGTGCGCCATCCCCCCAAGCGCGTCACCGTCCTGCCCAAGGACCCCCAGCGCCTGCGTGGTATCCGTGGGGAGCCGAATAGAAATGGCGACGCGAGCTCCTCTTCACGTTTCGGCAAGAACAGCTGTGCACTGCCTCCCCTCTGTTTGAGAGGGGTGGGCTCTGTTGAGCCTGAAGAGTCCTGGCCTTCAGAGTCCCTTTTGCAATTCTCAGAGCCTGCGACCAGGAAGCCCTCAACTTTGGGTTTCTACTTTTTTTTTCTTGGTAGATTATTCCCAAACAAAACCGGAGTCTGCTCGTTTGACCTTTGTGGAAAAGGATTCCAATGGGGGCCTGTATGAGCAGCTTAGCACTTAAAAGACAGGAGGGTTTGGAGGGGTGGGTTATGACACTCCCTACCCTCTCTTTGAGGAGCCCTGGTAGCGCAGTGGTTAAGCGCTGGGCTGCTAACCAAAAGATCGGCGGTTGGAACCCACCAGCCGCTCCGTCGGGCGAAAGATGTGGAAGAAAGATGTGGCAACCTGCTTCCGTAAAGATTTGCAGCCTTGGAAACCCAGCGAGGCAGTTCTACTCTGTCCTGTAGGGTAACTGTGAGTCAGACGCTAGTTTTTGTATTTTTTAAACCCTCTCTGGCTACTTTGCCGTTGAAGCGTAAAGTTTTCCTTTATTCCCTGTGTCCACTGACTGGAGGGAGAAAGAATCCTTTATTTACTTATTTTCATTCATCAAACATTCACTTAGCATCTACTTTCCAGGCATAGTTCTAAACCCTTAGGAGTGAGCACATTAGACAAAAATGTGCCCTCCTGGAGCTTCCATTCTAGTGGGAAAGGCCATGAGCAGTCCACAGGAGATGGACAGTATTGTAGAAGCTTATATGCTAAGCAGAAGTCCCTGCTTAACAGTTAAGGGCTCGACTATTAGCCAAAAGGTTGGCGGTTCAAAGCTACCCAGAGGTGACTCAGAAGAATGGCCTGGTGATCTCCTGAAAGGTCACAGAAAACCCCATGGAGCAGTTCTACTCTGCATACATTGGGTCAGCATGAGTCGACAACAACATGGTAAGCACTAGTATGCCTGTTTCAGTGCTGAACAGAATAGTCAGGGCAGGCCTCACTGAGACTGGGGTTTGAACAGGACCTGGAAGGAGCCGCCAGAGGCAACAGCCAGTGGAAGACCCTGAGAGTTGGGCGTGCACACTGCTGTTCTCACAGTGAGAAGGCCTCCTGTATGGAGGGAGAGGGCAAGCAAGAGAGGGGAGGAGCCGGGGAGTGGAAGGAGATGTGGACCCAGAAGTAAAAGGAAAGGAAGACTATGTGAAGATTTGGGTCTTTCCTGGAAGATCAAGGTGGTGCCACTGGATGGATTTCTTCAGGACTTCAACTGCTTGTTCAGTAAAGTGTCTCAGGCCAGAACCTCAACCTCTAATGATGAATGCTGTCATTAAAATAATGCAAACATGTATAATAATAATTTTAAATAACTATAATTAAAATAAATGGATAAATAAAATATATAAAATTGTTAAAATATATGAAATATAATTTAAAAATCATTTTAAAATATACATACGGTGAGTCTATCATTCACAAACATGCTACCCAACATCACATTGCTCACGTGACATCCAACACGAGAATGCCAGTTTGCAACACACGTTTACCACGTGCTTTCTGTGGGTCCCACTCTAAGTACCAACATTTCCTTGAAGAACAAGCCAGACAAGGTTTCTCTGCCGGCCTAGAGTTTAGCTTGTCATCTGCGAGAGATGAGTTACCCACAACCGCAAGGGCTATAAAGGAAGGAAAGAAAGTAATGAGATGGGAAATAATATGTAGGGGGCTCACTTGCCTTAGGGTGGCATGGAACCACTGGCCAGTGGAGGAGACACGTGGAAAATTACCTTGAGACTATGGGACCCTCCAAGCACACTACCAGGTCATGGCACAGAAGGGCTCACAGACCAAACTGAAATGTTTAAATCACGTGGTTTATTCAACTTAAAACACACAGCAGGAAACAAGGAGAAAGAGGGGGTAAATTAATAAATTTAGGAGAGGTGTAAGTAGGTAAAAAGCCACACCTGATCCTGGGGTACAAAGGAGAACGTAAGCTCCCGTCTCTCTCTGCTGGTTTTTCCCGCTGGCACCGTGGTTACGAGGACCAGAGTTCAGGTGCAAGCAAGGGGGCCCTGGAAGGAAGGTACCCTGGGCCAATGACCTGCTTGTTCGAGAGATGCAGGGACAGGCTCTCCTGGCTGAGCTGCAAACGGCACGTGGGCCAGGGTGGGTGTCACCAATGGGTGGCTAAGTTAAAACCTAGGGCATTGGGTGCCCCCTGCATATTTAGTGATCATGAATATTCAGTGTCCACATGCCTCACGTTCGTCTATTGCCTCCTAAATATTAGGTATCTTGGTTCTTAACATTCATATCTTTCAGACACACATGCTCTACTTGTTAGGTGCCTTGAGTCTGCTCCAACTCATAGCAACCCCGTGTATAAGAAAACGAAACGTTGCCTGATCCTGCACCATCCTCACGATTGTTGCTATATTTGAGCCCGTTGTTGCAGCTGCTATGTCAATCAATCCATTTGATTGAAGGTCTTGCTCTTTCTCGCTGACCCTCTACTTTACCAAGCATGAGGTCCTTCTCTAGGGATTGGTCCCTCCTGATGACACGTCCAAAGTGAGAGATGAAGTCTCGCTATCCTCTCTTCTAAGGAGCATTCTGGCTGTATTTCTTGCAAGACAGATTTATTCATTCTTCTGGCAATCCACAGTATATGCCATATTCTTTGACAACACCACAATTCTAATGCGTCAGTTCTTCGGTCTTCCTTTGTCACTGTCCAGCCTTTTGCATGCATATGAAGGACTGAAAAGACCATAGCTTGGGTCTGGAGCACCTTAGTCATTGAAGTGACATCTTTGCTTTTTAACACTTTAAAGAGGTACTTAACACATCTTAGGAGATTCACCCATCCTTTGGTTTTGGCTTTCGTTCTGTTATTTTCTGTCTTCTATAGCCGACTTGAATATTCTAGGACAGTAGGACAAATGTCTGTTCCAGGAGATGGTGATCAGGCCAACACCTGAAGAGAATGAATGGTTGAAGTGAAAGGCAAATGAGGGCTCAGTCTGTTCAAAACCAAGAGTCCTGTTTTCAGTGTTGAGTTTTGAGAGTTCCTCACATATTCTGGATACTCTTCCTTTGTCAGACATGTGGTTGGCAAATATTCCCTCCCAGTCTGTAGCTTTTCTTTTCATCCTTTTCACATGGGCTTTCCCAAAGCAAAAGTTTTTAATTTTGAAGTCCCATTTATCAATTTTTCTTTTTATGGATTGTGCTTCTGGTGTCAAGTCTAAGAAATCTTTGACTGGTTCTAGATCCCAAAGACTTTCTCCTAAATTTTTTTCTGAAAGTTATATAATTTAATGTTTTCCATGTAAGTCCCTGGTACGTTTTGAGTTAATTTTTATAGGAGATGTGAGGTTTGGGTCCAGTTTTATTTTGTTTTGCCCGTGAACATCCTGTTACTACAGGCTATCTTTCCTCCACTGAATTGCTTTTGCATCGTTGTCAAAAATCTGTTGAGTATATTTCTGGGCTCTCTATTCAGCTCCATTCATATATGCGTCTATCCCTCCTCCAATACCACATTGTCTTGATTACTGTAGCCATATAGTAAGACTTCACGTTGGTTAGGGTAACGCTTCCCACTTTATTCTTCTTTTTCAGGATTGTTTTAGCTATTCTGGGTCCTGTGTCTTTACATATAAATTTTAGAATAGGTTTGCTTATGCCTACAGAAGGAGTCCTGGTGGCTCGGTGGTTATAGTGCTTGGCTGCTAACCGAAAGGTCAGTGATTAGAACCCACCAGTTTCTGCATGGGAGAAAAGGCCTGGAAATCCGCTCCTGTAAAGATTACAGCCTTGGAAACCCTATGGGGCAGTTCTACTCTGTCATATAGGGTCATTATGAGTCGGAATTGAATTGATGGCAACGGGGCCAACTCATAGCGACCTTATAGGACAGAGTAGAACTAGGACATCTACAGAAAACCTTGTTGGAATTGTAATAGGAGTTGCTATAATTTTATAGATCAATTTGTGCAGAATTGACATCTTTACCACGTTGACTCTTCCAATCTGTGAACATGGTATGTCTCCATTTATTTAGATTTCTGATTTCTCTCATCATTTTGTAATTTTCAGCATACAAGTCCTTTATGTATTTTGTTGGATTTATATATAAGTATTTCATTTTCTTTGTGGTGATTTTAAGTGGTATTATATTTTTAATTTCAGTTTTCACGTGTTCATTTTTTATGTATAGAAATGTGATTGGTTTTTGTGTAGATCTTATATCCTGCAAACTTGCTGAATTCACTTATTAGTTCTAGAAGTTATTTTGTAGATTTCTTGGAATGTTTTTATGTAATCATGTCATCTACAAGCAGAGAGTTTATTTTTTTGTTCCAATCTCTATGACCTTTCTTCCTTCCTCCCTCCCTCTCTCTCCCCTTCCCGTCCTCTCTCTCCTTTTCTTCCTTCCTCACTTTCTTCCTTCCTTCTTTCTTTCCTTTCCCTTTTATTGCATTGGATAGAACATCCAGCACTATGTTGAATGAGTGATGACAGTGGACATTCTTACCTCATTCCCAATCTTAGAAGAAAAGCATTCAGTCTTTTACCATTAAGTTGTCAGCTGTAGGTTTTTTTTGTGGATGATCTTCATCAAGTTGAGTTTTCCTCTAGTTCTAGTTTGCCGAGAATTTTATCATGAATGCGTGTTGGATTTTGTCACTTGCTTTTTCTGCTATCACATTTTTCTGCATATTACACTGATATGATTATATTTCTTTTTTAGCCTGTTGATATGGTGAATTATATTAACTGATTTTAGGTGATTTTATTCTCAAACAGGGGGAATTAAGTTTTTGAGAATACAGGCAGTCCCCAGGTTATGAATGTCAGATTTATGGACAACTTGTACTTGTCCTTTAATGATACGTAAATTTGCCCTCTCTTTGAAACGATGGAACCAACCCCTACTTGGAACAAATTCTTCATCGCAGTCACCTTCACTTGCTGCACGTGCAGCTTTTAAATCATTGAAAAGGCTTTAAGCCTTTTCTTGCACTAAAGTCAGGTGGCCACAATTTCCTGATGAGCCTCCAAGCTTAGGAAACTCCCTGTCAGCCGCTGGGCTGGTGTGGGACCGTGGTTTCCACTTGCTGGTGGTGCTGTTTTAGCTCTTGATTGCTGAGTAACAAACCAGCCCAAAACGTAAACAGCCGCTTTTCTGCTGGCAGTTCTGTGGGTCAGCAGTTGGAGTGGGCTCATCTGTGTATTTGCTAGTAGGTGGGCTGGGAGTGGGCTGGTCCCAACAGCCTCCGTCACATGTCTGGGGTGCCTCCGATTCTTCGCCTCATAGTCTTTCTCCATGGCTACTTTGAGCTTCCTCACATGGTCCCCAGAGGGCCAAGGGTCCCCAGGACTGGATGTTGTGTGCTGTTGGTCACAGAGCCAGTGCAGAGTCAAGAGCCTGGAAAACAGACTCTTCCTTGTGAGGGAAGGAGCAGCAGAGGGCTGCACAGGCAGAGGAGGGAGGACTCTGCTGGAGGGTGGAGTGTTGTTATACGTGGGGTCGCTATGAGACGGAGCTGAATCAATGGCACCTAACAAGAAAAACAGCAAGATACTCAGTCACCGAATTACCCACTTCCTCACAGCATCCCTCCTGCACTGGCCCCGCTTCCCTGACCTTTGCTCGTAACCGTCCACCACCACCAGCCCCCACCAACCTTCCGTTAGGCTGCCTTCTCCTCTGCTCTGTCTTATGGGCGGGCGTCCACAGAAGGAAATGATGGATTAATGTTGGCCTGGATTATTCTTTCCCTTTAGTAAAATCTCATCATGCAATATTCTGATCAGTGTTCCTGACACCTAGAGGTGGGTGCAAATGTACCTCTCCTCTCCTGGAGTCTAGTCAACCCTGTCCACTGCCCCCCCACCCCCCAGGCTGCCTTGTAGCTTCTCTTTCTCCTCCTCCTCTCCCTTCCCCTTCTCCTTGTCCATATTCATTGATTAGGTTCAAATTTTTATTTTTTAGGTGAAATTCACATAACATAAAATTAATCATTTTAAAACGAACACTTAGGGGTGCATAGTACATTCACCACCTCCATCTAGTTCCAAAACATTCTTATCATCCAAAAAGGAAACTCCACACCCATTAAGCAGCCACTCTCCATGCCCTCCCCACCCCAGCACCCGGCAGCCACTAGTCTGTAGTCTGTCTCTATGGATTTACCTCTTCTAGATACTTCGTATAAATGGGATTATACAATACATGACCTTTAGCGCATTGCTTCTTTCACTTAGTATAATGTTTTCAAGGTTCATCCATGCGGTAGCATAAATCAGAACTTCATTCCTTTTTACGGTTGAGTAATATTCCATTGTGTAGATAGACCACATTTTATTTACCCAGTCTTCTGTTGATGGACGCTGGGTTGTTGCTACTTTTTGTCTGTTGTGAATAGCGCTGCTATGAACCTTGGTATACAAGGATCTGTTTGAGTCCCTGCTTTCAAGTCTTCTGGGTATGTACCTACGTGTGAAATCGCTGGGTCATATGGTGCTTTCTTCTTTATACATGAGTCTGGTAGACTTTTCTCTCGAAGAGGCAGGCACCTCTAGGTACTTCTGTCATTTCTGAACCTGATATCCCCCTAATTGGTGACCAGAACTTAGACCACAGCCATCAGATGGAACTTTCCACAGTGATGGAAATGTTCCACATCTGAGCTGTCTAGTGTGGTAGTCACTGGCCATGTGTGACTAGGGCAACTGAGAAACTACATTTTAAATTGTATTTAATTTTAATTAATTTAAAATTAAGTAGCCACATGTGGGTTTGGACATTTCAGCCTTAGAGGTGATGCCAATGAAGTTCTATCCCTGACAGGAGCTCCCACTCCTCCGCCTCCGTATTAACACACCACTTGAGGAATAAAATAAAATTCTGGAAACCTAGAATACCTAGGCCCCCTTCTTGGGGGGGGCGGGCACTTTTTTCTTAAATCTCGGAAGGGTTTGAAGATATACGAAGACCTACATAAATATATAAAGACAAATTTAAGCTACAATTGAAGGCTCTGTTATTGGAAACATAACTGATAAATATCCAGAAAAGTTATATAATCTTTTGGACAGTCCCTTGCAATATACTTTACTGAAATGTTGCCTACTTGACAGTGTTTGACAAATTATCTACATACACAGTCCATGATCGTTGTGTTGTTTGAATCCACACTGTTAGAGCAACTGCTTATCAATTTTTGGTGTGAAATTTTGTAGCGTTGGGATATTTTATACAGACGAGCAGATTTGTGGTTAGTTCCAGATGGTGTCTAGGAAGCCCTGGTTTGGATAGACCTAAATTTAGTAGAATAAATTATATATGTATATATATATGCATGATATATATATTATATAATATTCCCAAGTCATTTAACAAAGCGTATTTACTGTCACTAAAACAAAATGTGGAAACAACTGAAATGTCCATCGACAGATGACTGGATAACCAAAATGTGGTTATACATACGATGAAACACTACTCACTCATAACGAGAAATGAAGTCCTGATGTACGCCACAACATGGATGAACCTTGAACATTATGCTGAGTGAAGTCAGTTACGGAAGGGCGAGTACTGTATAATCTCACTTCCATGAAATAAGCAAATAGATACAAACCTGAAATTATTAGTGGTTACCAGGGGTGGGAGGGAGGAGGAAAGGGGGAGTTTTTGCTGAGGGGGGGCGTTGAGTTTATGTCCATGGTGGTGGAATAATTTGGAAAAGGATATCCAGAATGGTTGCACAACTTGAATGCAAACAGTCACTGAGTTATACAAGTAGAAATCGTTGAATTGGTGTATGCTTTGTTGTGTATATTTTCACCACAATTTTTAAAAATTAATGAAAACGATCAGGGTCACAGATAACAGAAGTAACCGCAGCACTTATTGAGCCCTTATTTTGTGCCAGGGATTTATTTACAGGATTATCGTTGATTAGCTCATTTACCCTCTAGCCCCCCATGAGGTCAGGTATGTGCGATTAACATCCCCATTTAAACTGTTGATTTTGCCAGGAGCCTTTCTGTGATTCTCCAACCCTCCTTTACAGAAGAATGTGGAGTTTAACAGTCATCTTCACAAAAATCCACATCTATTAATCCGGTTCTAACAATATTCAATTTACTAAATTCACAAACCTAGTTTTTATCATATTCATTTACAAATCATTCTCTAAAACTAGTCCATGTTAGCAATTTAAAAGGATGTTCGATTAACGTTTGACCAACATATGTAAGTTCCTTTAAATAATTATCCCATTGGCTATTAAATTCCCTTTAAAAGTTGACACCTTTAAAAATTTAGTAATTTTTGTGTTTTTTAAATATTAAAAGTGCCTCTAGCAAGCGTACTGTTCCCAAGACCTTAGAATTTCAAATCCAATAAATTAACTCTGGTTCTCACGTTCTCTTAAAAACTTGGCAACTTCAACTCATTCACTCACACAATTTTAAATCCAAATCGTTAAGGATTACCGAAATCTCAAACGACATTTTGGAGATCAGATCTACCAGATTATCCCTACGAAAATAATCCCTACTTAATGGCTACTTTTGAGCCTTTCCCAGTCAAAAGTAATTTCTCACTAGTTGTTACGCGATTAGCTTTTAGAACAGGCAAGATTACTTTCACATTAGGTTTATGGGCTGGGATATAGGGGCAAGGGGTGGCTACACTTTGGGCGAACATTTCCCTGCCACGAACGGAACAGCCCTTCAGGTCCCCGGTTCTCGTTTAAGCTCTTACGTACCATTAAGGCGCTTCTTAACGCCTTTGAGTGATGACTCTGGCTCTTGGCAAATAAAACACCATATGCTTAGTGCGCTCTTTTCTTGAAAGAGTGGGTGGCTCTGAAAAGAGCCGTTGATTTCAAAAAAGACTTGTCTGCAACAGTAGAGCCGTTTTGCCTCTCCCAGGCCTCACTTGCCCTTGGCCTTGTGGTGGCTCTCGGTCTTCTTGGGCAGCAGAACCGCCTGGATGTTGGGCAGGACGCCGCCCTGCGCGATAGTCACGCGGCCCAGCAGCTTGTTGAGCTCCTCGTCGTTGCGGATGGCCAGCTGCAGGTGGCGCGGGATGATGCGCGTCTTCTTGTTGTCGCGGGCCGCGTTGCCCGCCAGCTCCAGGATCTCGGCCGTCAGGTACTCGAGCACGGCCGCCAGGTACACGGGCGCGCCGGCCCCGACGCGCTCCGAGTAGTTGCCCTTGCGGAGAAGGCGGTGCACGCGCCCCACCGGGAACTGCAGGCCCGCGCGGGAGGAGCGCGATTTCGCTTTGGAGCGCGCTTTACCGCCTTGTTTGCCACGTCCGGACATCTCCGATTCAGGTACAGAGAAAAAATCAAACCGGGAAGCGGAACTCGGAATAACCCCTTTCTGAAGCCCAGTGAGCCGTTATATATGGTCCAGAGGTAGGCTAAGAGGCAGCATTCGATTGGGTAGCATATGAAGCCAATCATAAAAGAAAACTTGCATCCCCTAATTTGCATACGCCTGCCCCAACGATGACGTTATGCAACGTTTTATCCTATCGGATATTAGGAACTCTTAATCCTTCATTTGAATACAAGACGTACAAATAGACTCGCGCGTGTGTCACGTATTTTTTTTTTGTTTGGAGAGACCAGCCATCATGCCTGATCCCTCCAAATCAGCTCCTGCGCCCAAGAAAGGCTCTAAGAAGGCAGTTACCAAAGCCCAGAAGAAAGACGGCAAGAAGCGCAAACGCAGCCGCAAGGAGAGCTACTCCATTTACGTGTACAAAGTGCTGAAGCAGGTGCACCCGGACACCGGCATCTCGTCCAAGGCCATGGGCATCATGAACTCCTTCGTCAACGACATCTTCGAGCGCATCGCCAGCGAGGCCTCCCGCCTGGCGCATTACAACAAGCGCTCAACCATCACCTCCCGGGAGGTGCAGACGGCAGTGCGCCTGCTGCTGCCCGGGGAGCTGGCCAAGCACGCCGTGTCCGAGGGCACCAAGGCGGTCACCAAGTACACCAGCTCCAAGTGAGGCGCTTCCACCGCAGCCGCGCCACAGAACACAAAGGCTCTTTTCAGAGCCACCCACATGATCGAGAAAGGGTTTCGAACACGTAAAAGGTTTTTGCGTAACTTCTTGCTATCTTTTATGTTCCCTAGCAATTCCTTGGTTACTCTGTGGGTGCAATCAGGAGATTGGGGACAGAATACGAGAATGTAAAACTGCTTATTACAGAAATCAGGTTGAAGCCGTTGCGGAGCTAAATAGTTGTGGGAGGTGATCAAAGATTAACTGTATATTCCTTTTTCTCCGCCCAAAGTTATTAAAAACGCACCAGTAGGCTACAGCAGGAGCGTTTGGATTCCTATGCCCTTTGGTAGCTTGAGCGTGTTGCCCCGGCACTTGAGCGCGTGGACCCGGTCCAAGGCCGTGGCAGTCTGCGCGTGGCTTGCTCCGTGTGGTGACGGGGCGTGGGTCACCTCCTCCAGGAAGACCTGTGCCTCCTGCGCGCCTGAGGCCGGACAAGTACTGGACACCGGGCTTGGTGATGCGCTGAGTAGTGTCGCGCTGCCCCGGCGGTAGCTCCAGGCATTGCACGCTTGCCTGGATCAGACATCTTTATTTTCCAGCAGTTAACATCCTCTGGGAGAGCAGCGGCGGGATCTGTTTGCAATGCGGTGAAAACGCAACACCGCCCTTCCGCCCCTGTGCTGTGGGAGGCAAACGTGATAGGAAGCTGATCTCCGTTGTGGGTAGATTTAACTGCTATTTAGGTTGGGAGAAGAGGTGTCAAATGATTTTAAAATCAATTGAAGAGGAAAATAATTCCCCTTTTCTGAACAAATTGGCCTCCCGCCTTCAGCCACACTATTATTTTATGTGAAGCCTTGTTAGCTGCCGTCCAGTCGCCCCCACTCACGGAGACCCCATGCACAACAGGAATTGAACGGTTGTGATTCATAGGGTTTTCACTGGCAGAGTTTTGGAAGCAGATAGCTAGGCCTTTCTTCATGTCAAGCATTCAATAAACGTTTATTTCTCTTTTCTTCTCTGAATTCATGGTATTTATTTTGAGCGTCATCTTGGTTCAGGGAAAGCGCTGTGGCGTGGCGAGTCCTCACCCAAGAAAGGGCATTGCTTCCCTTTTATTTGCTTGGCTTTTCTGACTTGTGAAAAAGGGATTCTTAACAGTTACTTCGTTATTTTGAGAATTTGTTATTGAAAATTAGTGTCATCGTCTTAGGCAAGGAATAGACCTTCAGTTAATAAAAATAACGATCGTTTTTAGCAAGTCAGCTCACCAAAGAAATCCAGTCACTTGCCCAGGCTGGGGCTGCTGTGGCGAGCGGGGGCTGAGCTCGGGGAGGACAGCCGTGTCAGAAACGTCACAACTCCAGCATCCTCTGCAACACGGACAGCCATACTCCCCCAGCTTCTTTTCCTTGAGTGAATCCTTTCTAAAAGAATTTTTGAAAACCTCACACGTTTAAAAGTTGTCATCTAAAATGTTTTTATCACAAGTAAATAATTGCAAGGATGTAAATTCCGACATATTGTAAAACCTGACCTTTTAGAAACTATGTCATATCAATCTTTTAAAGGTATCCATTGGAATATCATTTTAATACCACAATCAATTTATAAAGTACATGGTAAAGTCAGTGAGAAATTTTAATTCATTCTTTTTTCCCCGAACTCAAATTTCCATTCCACTTCTGCCTTAGAATTTTATCCTGAAGAACTATGTACTTTTAAATGTTTAACCGTGTTTTCCCTCTCTCTCTCCTCTGTAAAAAGCATGTAAATTGAAATTTAAAAATACTACTAGGTGACCAAAAGTCTCTCAGTGTTTAAAAAAGTCAACTGGGTAAGTTCACAATTCTTAAATAAAACATAAAGAAGTATTGATAATTATCAAACCAAAAAAGTAAAGATTTAGTGAAGCCTACCTATTTGAATGATAGGTGGCTCTTTCTCTCTTCCTCACTTTCCTTCTGCCTCTCCATTGGTTCGTGTATCCATGGGCATCTATAGTATTATTGTCGCTTCAACGATAGCAATGTACGTCATCATTTCCAGTCCTTTGTTCTCTTTTATAGATAAACGTTCTGGAAAAAAATATTTACAAAAATAAACATACCCCATTGCCATGGAGTCGATTCCAACTCAAAGCGACCCTATAGGACAGTTGAACTGCTCTATCGGTTTTCCAAGGAGCGGCTCGTGAATTCACACTGCCGAGCTTTTGATTAGCAGCCAAGCTCTTAACCACTGTGCCACAAAGTCTCCAAAATAAGAATATAGGAGTGAAAATTTTGCTATAGCTGTTTTACTTCTTGCCTTCCTTGTTATAATCTGAAAATTAAGTAGCGATCTATCCTCAGATGCAAGTGGAACCTGTGAACACACTTAATCCTCTCAAGAAATAGCCTATTTGTATCTAAAATCACAGAATCCAGTTCTCTGCATTTGTGAAACAGGTGCCCCTAACTGGGACTTCCAAGCCCTTACCCTCCTAGCAAAGTAGATGGGGAGTAAGGATCTTAAATAAGCATTTGTGGTCACGTGAACTAGTCTCACAGATCCACGTGGATTCTCCCTTAATGAGTTTAAGGTTTCGTAGCAAAGGGTAATAAATTTTGAAAGGCCAGTAGTGTTTAGTACCGAAATTAAAAATCAATGAGCAAAATGAACATGCTACAATTTCTAAATAATTCTAGAAAAATAAATTTTGTTGTGGATAATGCAGAACATGAATTAATCTCCCAGTCATTTTGAATCATCTGGAAGAGCCAATCAGCTTGAGGTAACCTAAGATGGTCTCTAACTGTTGAGCAGTCCTGTGGAGACTATGCTTGCTCAGGCCACCGGCAGCCCCAGGTGCAGAACTGGCTCTCTCACCTAGAACAAAATTGTTAAGGGAGAGGCAGACAAAGAAAAACTGGGTCTCTGCTATTGAGATTTTATAGTCGAGAAAAGTTGCACTCAGCATCAATGCCTCTAACTGTATTGTTACAGCAGGGTAAGACAGATGTTACTTAAAGTTGAAGGTTAAGTGAAAGCGGTTCACACCAAATATTTGCGAATACATAAACCTAAGAGGAGTTCATATGAAAAACCAGGAATCAAAATAATGGAAGCATTACCTGGGTCTGAAATGATGAAACTAATTGCTTCAACTAAGGTGGTGATAGTTGAGTCGATTTCGACTCGTGGTGACCCCATGTGTGCAGAATAGAATTGCTCCTTAGGGTTTTCAAGTCTGTGACCTTTTGGAAGCAGATCACCAGGCCTACCTTCTGGGGCCACCTCTGGGTGGGTTTGAAGCACCAACTTGTCAGCTAATAGTTGAGCGCTTAACCATTTGCACCACCCAGGGATTCCCCAACTAAGTTTAGGGAAGGAATTTAAGGGATTTCACCTGCATACAAACTGAAACGCATTTAAGAGGCTCTGCCCCGCCCCCCTTCTCTGCTAGAAATTTCGAATCAAATTTGATAGTTATTATGAAATAAACCAGAGATTTTGGAGGAAAAACTTCATTTAGGAAGAAACCACAAAAGCAAGATAATGAGTTTACTATAACAGGCAGTAAAAGGTAAAATGTTCAAAAATGTGTCCGCATCCCTGGAGGCAGTGTGAGTCAGGCACTGGGCCCGGGTTAGAAGGTAATTATCTTTCACCAGTAACTGAGCCAGAAAGTCTAATCCAAATCCCACATTTCAGCTCTGCGAGAGTGGACTGAGACAGTGTTATTCGTGGTTGGGGAGTAACCAGCATTTTGAGATATTTTGTAGAGCAAGGAGAGTGTGGCCTCCACCCAGGCCTGCATGCCTTATTAGTAAATCTGTCATCCAGGGACGATTGTATTTATTTTGCATCTGATTTTTACTGAGGGGGGAGAAAAAGATGCTATATTTTTCTTTACTAAAAAGGATATTTCCTCCTTTACTCGACTTCTGTTTAAAATTTATAAAATATCTGAATCTCCTAATTTGGAAGGATTTTAGGTGAGTGGTGACGGGTGGAGAACAGGAACTGTGCGCCCCGCTGTTTGGATTTTTCAAACAGGAACGCATAGCGCTCACAAGGAGCTGTGTACGCTCAACGCTGCAGAAGCGTTTGGCTTTTGGCTAGAAAATCACCGTGTCTAGTCATGGCAAAGGCGGGAAAAGCCTATGAAATGACGCCCCCAAGCGCCACCTCCAGGGCTTCGTGACTACACCGAGTATCACCAAGCTCCAACCAGTGCACCTCAGGCCTCACCTACCAGGAGCCACGAAGGGATAGAGGTTGGGGGAATGGCACAAGGTCTTCCTGTAAGTGATCCCACTCGGTTATCCACACGGAGCGTGCCATGCACAGATGGTCACAGCCCTGGGGCTAAAGCTAAATCAGCAAGTTTAATGGAATGTTAGTTGAAGAAATATCATTAAGACCAAAGAGCGTAGCTTCATCTCAAAATTTGCACCCCCATCGCCCATCCCAGGTCCTTCATAATCCCGACTGAATTAATGTCTCAAACCAAACTAGCTCGTACGCTCCTTTGTGAGCACGGAGGTGGCTCTGAAAAGAGCCTTTGTGTTCTGTGGCGCGGCTGCGGTGGAAGCGCCTCACTTGGAGCTGGTGTACTTGGTGACGGCCTTGGTGCCCTCGGACACGGCGTGCTTGGCCAGCTCCCCGGGCAGCAGCAGGCGCACTGCCGTCTGCACCTCCCGGGAGGTGATGGTTGAGCGCTTGTTGTAGTGCGCCAGGCGGGAGGCCTCGCTGGCGATGCGTTCGAAGATGTCGTTGACGAAGGAGTTCATGATGCCCATGGCCTTGGACGAGATGCCGGTGTCCGGGTGCACCTGCTTCAGCACTTTGTACACGTAAATGGAGTAGCTCTCCTTGCGGCCGCGTCTCCGCTTCTTGCCGTCTTTCTTCTGAACCTTGGTGATGGCCTTTTTGGAGCCTTTCTTAGGGGCAGGAGCCGACCGAGAAGGGTCTGGCATGTTGACACAGCGTCAGAATAGAAACAAAATGGAAATGTGGACAGGGCAGGTCTATTTGTCATTTTTATATTCAAATGAAGGCTTCCATGTTTCTAGAATCTGATTGGATAATATGCGGTACTGTGGTAAACAGGAAGAATTTATGTAAATAGAGATGCCGGCTCTGCTTTCCTATTGGATGACAGGGCGGTAGCCACTTTAACCAATCAAAAAGCACCTCTACCGAGCTGACAGTGCTCAGTCTGGGAATCTTTGTTTAGAAGCCTTTGTTTTAACATGAGAGAAGATCTTTATTACCATACCTGGATATGGCAAAAAAAAGGCAGTAGAAATGGATTTTAAACGCCAAGTGTCAACTTCAGTGGGAATTTTTTTTTCCCCCTGAGGCCAAGATCTAGGGAGGGGAAGCTGGTGTCTGTTTACAAAAATGGTAATGGCTGAGAAATAGAAGACAGATTCGAACTGCTGTAACCGGTTATTTTCCATCAGTTTTTTGTTAAAGTCCCCCCCCCCCAAAAAAAATTTAGAGTTCAAGAGTAAATTCTAGCAGTTCGTTAGGAAACAGAAAATAAATCTGAAAATATGTTAAGGTACTTGCGTTGGAAGTGAGTAACAGGGCAGACCTTCAGCAGAAGAGAAGGAATTGAAAGTATTTCAGATGAAACACTAGTCCTTCATATTGTTATTATTATTAATGCTGAGTAACCCTTCCTTAATTACTTGCTTGATATGTGTGATCTCCTCTATTCTAATATCTTCAAGAACCAAAAAAACAAAAAACAAAAACCTAAACCCCTTGCCATCGATTACGACTCATAGAGACCCTACATGACAGACTAGAACTGCCCTATAGGGTTTCCAAGGAGGGACTGGTGGATTGGAACTGCCGACCTTTTGGTTAGCAGCCGAGCTCTCAACCACTGCGCCACCAGGACTCGAAGAGGTAAGTATTATTGCTCCAGAACACAGGTTTACGGAAGTCGCCAGTCCCCGTGTTCCCTCTCAAACACAAGGTTACATATTATATACATTCACTGCCAAACTATAAGCATAAGGTGTTATGAATTCAAACGCCTCACTGTATCAGCATCAGCATCGCCTGGAAAGCGCGATAGAAATGCAGAATCTTGAGCGACCTCTGGCAAATAATTTACTTTATCTGAGCCTTCGTTGTTCTCGTCTGTAAAATGAGGATCTCAATGCCTACCTGATAGGATTGCCGTGAGTTACTGTGTGTGAAGCCGTCGGCAGGGTGCCCAGCATACACTTAGTGCTTAACGTCTGCTGGCTCCATTTCTTCCTGTCCTTCGCAGAAGTGACCCAGCCACAAGCAGTGGGTACGCCCTCTGCTGAGCTCCCTCTGGCGCTGGGCACCTCCATCAAATAAATATGTAGAAAGAGCCTTTCTCTGTCCCACTAAAAGACTGGCCAAACTGTAAGAAATGTTCCTGTCACTTCTGAATCTCCAGGATGGAACACAGTGCTGGACACATATCAGAGGCCCCATAAATTTTTGTTGAATGAATAAGCCTGTGCGCTAAGGGAATTTACTATGCTGTCAAGTTTGTACTCTGAGGTGACTGTGGCATTATCAAATGATGAGCTGCTCAGGACATACTCAGCATAAGTATTTTATCTGTTTACTTTTACAATAAGTAACAGATGTAAAAATATTTTTATAGTGCTCATTATGAGCTGGGTAACCACTTAATTCAATGTAGTCCTTATAACAGCCTTTCAAGGTATGCATTATTAATAACTCCGTTTTAGAGATGAGTAACACAGGGCTGAAGAAAACAGCCCAAATATCCCAAGTTAAACAGCTCAGGGAGCTGGCACTGGAAGCCAGTAGCATAAAAATAACTTTTTTTTTTTTTTTTTACTTTTTGGATATGAATTTCATTTTGAAGTAGGAATAATATTTATAATGTGGTGTGTAGGAAAAAAAAGTTAGGAAAACATCATGCAGTTGGAGGGGCTGCGGGGAGATCGGAACTCTTATGCACTGCTGGTGGGAATGCAAAATGATACAACCATTTTGGAAAATGATATGG